GTTCCCATTTGCTTGAGATCAAAGACCTCTTATGGGCAAGGGATGATGAAGTGATTGAAGACTACATTCTCCGTAGTAAAGATTAGTGGACCGAGTTCGGGGAAAAACCAATGCGGTATTTCTACCAGCTCGAGAACTCGCGCCAGTCATGCAATGCTATCCACGTGTTATATGCGGACAACAACACTATGGTCAAAACCTCCCAAGGCATTCTTCAGGAATGCAACGCTTTTTATAAAGCTGTTTACACTGAAGAACCGGTCAACCACCAGAGCCAGGACTGGCTTTTAGAACAGCTTGATTCCACTCTGACATCCGAAGATCAGAAACTATGCGAGGGCAAGCTGACTTTTGTAGACTGTCATACCGCCTTGTGAAAAATGGAATCGGGTAAATTGCCGGGAAATGACGGTTTTCCGACTGAATTCTCTTCCCATTTTTGGGGCCTCCTGGGTCATGATTTAGTTGAAACACTCAACTTTTCTTTCCGCGAAGGTTCTCTCAGACTCCCAGCGCCAGGGAATCCTGCGTTTACTTTACAAGAAAGATGATCCATTGTCGCTTAAAAATTGGCACCCCATCTCACTCCTAAACCTTGATTATAAGATTGCGACAAAAGCCTTGTCTAATTGATTACGCAAGGTTCTCCCCCAGATTTTCAGTGAGGATCAAACCTGTGGCGTGCCTGGGCGTAATATTTTCGAAAACCTTTTCTTGTTGTGTGACATCATTGATTATGCTGAACTCAAACAGCTCCTGGCCGCTGTTATAAGTCTCGATCAGGAAAAGGCCTTCGACCGCGTCAACCACGCTTTTCTCCAGCACATTCTGGAGAGATTCAATTTTCGCTCTGATTTCTGCCGCTGGGTCAGGGTGATTTACATGGATATTTCCTCTGTGGTTATTAACAACGGCTGGCTGTCCTCAGCTTTTCCCCTCAAGCGAGGCGTTAGGCAAGGCTGCCTGCTCTCCCCTTTGTTATATTGCCTGGTTGTTGAAACCTTAGGTCAAGCTATCCGATGTGACACAAGCATACAGGGAATTCAAATCCCTGGCTCTAAAAAATAAACAAAGCAAGGTGTCTCAATATGCCGATGACACCACCTTAATTTTAGCTAATGATTACTCCATCACGCAACCCTTTAATATTATTAATATTTTTGAGTGAGGTTCAGACTCGCAGCTTAACCCCAAGAAAACAGAGTGCTAATGGATCAGCTCTCAAGCCGGGTGCACCTCAGGGCCTGTCAACATCACCTGAGTTGCCAATAAGCTTAAACTCCTTGGGGTTTATATTGGTAACGTTAACCTTCACCAAGCTAACTGGGCCGATCGGGTCACTCAACTTGAAATGGGTCTTAACCTCTGGCGCTCCAGGACTTTGTCCTTAAAAGGCAAGTCCATGATTATTAATACGCTCGGCGCCTCTGGCCTCTGGTACATGGCTAGTGTGGTCAATATGCCTGATTGGGTTCATACAAGGGTTTCCACAGCAATTTGGAATTTCTTGTGGAGCGGGAAAACCGAATTGGTTAAACGGGACATTTGCTGCCTCCCTTGGCAACACGGGGGTTTATCCATTGTGAACGAGCTCGAAAAATCGCATGCCCTCAAACTCCCCTGGGTTCCCCTCTTGGGCGATTTTACCTGCGAGAAAACTGTGTCTTTTTCGTGCGATACTGGATCAGCTTTCCGCTGAGCCATAGAATGAAAAATTGGGCGTTTCTCCGCTCAAATAATGTCCCAAAGCACCTCGGGGAAGTCAAACCGCCCATTTACCAGCATATTCTTACCGCTGTTGACCGTATAGGAGTAGATCTCGATCTGCTCTCTGACCACAGTGTGTAAAAGACCTTTTACTCAAAGCTCTCACCCCCCTCCCCAGTGGTTGCTTAGCGCTCTCCAGTGGGAACGTAGGTTTGATTGCTTTTTCCATTGGCCTAACATTTGGGAACACATGTATGGTGGTCTCAGTACGAACTGGGAAAGCGACAGCCTGGCGGATCGCTCATGGCGTGGTCAAAACTCAGGCTTACCTCAAGTCCTGGCTTAGGCTTGGCGTGGGCGACTCGTATGCGGGTTGTGGGGAAAAGGAAACTATCTCCCATGCTTTCTTCGCGTGCTGGCTAGTGTCTCCTGTGTGGAGCTGGGTGTTGACGCTAATTAACAAATTATATACCACTCCTATGTTACTAACTAATCCCCTCATTCTGCTTCACTGCGGCTTACCCCGGTGCAAGCAATTTCAGTTTTCAAATGAGCTCTGCTCCTTTCCCATTAAACTCACTTTAAATGAACTGTGGGCCGCTCAGAACCTTGGAACTTTTGAATCCAAGCAACCTACTTTTCAAAATATAATTTCCAAAATCAAGGCCTGCATTCGCCACAGGATACGGGTGGCTTTTAATTTTTCCCCTCGCCCCGATTTCATCAAATCATCAGCCCATCACGACGCCCTTTGTTCTTACACACACCAGCAGTTAATTATTCATATTTAAATCTATTATTAGTCATATTTTTTGGGTGAGATTTCCGTGCACGGACTCTGTGCCCGAGGCGGATCACGGGCTTTGCCCTTGGGATCCTGCTGGGCGTTCGCCTTAGAGGACCTCTTATTTGAGGTATTCTATTGGCAGTGCCGCAGGGGCCCTCCGTGAGGCCTGTGTTTTCTAGCCTTGGGATGGAGACTCCAGATCTCTTACCTCACTTAACTATACATACCTAATTATTACTCTCCTTCCTGTGCTGGGTCTCCTTAATTGGC